GGGAGTGGGTGATGCCAGCCAAGACTGGGCAAGGAGAAGGCAGATGGTCTGGGATGCCAAATTTGGCTCCCGAGAGCTTTTCACTGCTTTACTCCCTCTTTTTAAAAAAGAAAAATATATATTTCAAGCTCACTGCTTCAAAAACAGCCCATGGGGCCAAAGCCACCAGGTTCCCCCAGCAAATTCCAGCACCCATTGCCCGCAGACCGATGCCATCTCGCCCGATCTCTCCCGCAGGAGCATCCCATGGGCGCCAGGACCCACTGTGGAGGGGGTCCCGCATCCGGCGCTGCGTTTTAGGGCTGGGTTCCCTTGGGAATAGGGGAAAGAGCTGAGCGGGAAGGCACCAGGAAGCTGCTGTGGGTGGAGGGGTCGACATGGGGACAGGGCAGGGGAGGGGAGGACAAGTGACTTTTCCATCCAGGAAGGTCCTGGCTCCTGCTCTGAACCGGGTCCAAGGCGCTCTCTGCTGCAGCCAGCTGAACCCCAGCGGGAGCCGGCCGAGCTTTGTGTCTCGGCAATAATGTCTCATAAAATTAAATGATGTGTGTGTTGGAGTTCGGTGGATGTGGATATTTGTGTCTGAGCTTGCTCCAGCAGGAGCCTTTTGCTCCCACAAGACTGAGCCCATGTGAATATCCTCATTTATTTTTATTTTTTTCCCCTCTACCTTCCTCAGGAAAAAGCTTCACCCTGACGATCACCGTGTTCACCAACCCCACCCAAGTCGCTACCTATCACCGAGCCATCAAAGTGACCGTGGACGGACCCCGGGAGCCGCGAAGTAAGTGACGTGTTTGATCTGGCATCGCTGAGCAGCGCGGGGGGGACGCGGGGGGCCGAGCTGGCCGTGGTTGAAGGATGCAGGATGCCAGCTGGGCGGAGGTAACGAGACGGCATCGGCGTGGCCGAGCGAGCACCAAGAGCGCGCGCTGTGGCGGGCACAGCTTGGCTGCTTGTATTTTGTTTTATTTTATTTTCTCCGCGTGTCCCTGCTGCTGGCTTGCTCCGCCCGTGCTCTGGATCCCGTCACGGAAGGGAGGTTTTGTAGCTCCGGTCCTCGCGTGGTTGGGGCGCGGGGAAAACGCTTTGGGCTTCGACAGCAAAAACGCAGAGGATTCGGATCTGGAGGTGCAGAGGGCGTTTCGGGGCGGGGGTTGCACAGCCAGAGACGCCGTGCCCAGCTTCGGAGGCCGACTTGCTGGTTATTAAACTAAAAGTGTTTGCAGGTTTCCTCCTCGCTGTGCTTTTATTTGCCCGTCTGTCCGCATGGCCAGGGAGAGCTCGCAGAGCACCTTCCCCTTTTGGTTAGAGCCTCTTTCGCTTTCCGGTCGTCAAAGGCTCCGGCTGGCAGCGCCGGCGGCCGCGTCGCTTGAGAAAAACCAAAGAGACAATTCAACTGCAGAAACTGTGTTTTGATCGAGTAGGTTCTCCCGGGTGCGGGACGGTGCCTCTTGGTCGAGGGCGGCTGTTGGCGAAGGCGGCTGCGGACGGGCCTCGCTGGGTTGGGTTTCGGCGTCGGGCTGGTTTGAGCTCACCCTGGCATCACCCGAGGAGTGCGGGGAAACACGCCGGTGCTCTCGGGCGGAGGAGTTTCCTCTTTGCAGGAGTATTATTTGCTCTGTGCGACCCCCTGTGCGGTGGGACCTGGTCCCCCGGGGCTTCCATCTTTGGCTTTTTGCTCTGGCTTCGCCTTCCTGCTGGCTCAGCACCACCCCGGGGACGATAAAGCAGAGTTTGTTCGCTTTGCGTGTGAAGCTGTCGGTGCCCAGGTTGAAGGGAAACGGTTTGATCCTTCTAAATATGCTTTAGAAAATATTTTCTGTTGCTGCTGTCGTTGGGCCATCGGTGCCCCTTGATGTCAGGCCAGGCGGAGGCTGATACCTCGCCGAGGGGGTTTTATTTGCATCTGGGTTTGTTGGGTTTTCATCCCTCCCCTTATTTTTATTTTGGAGCGCGAGAGGCTTGACAGGAGCCTGTCGAGCTGCCGGGCTGGATTTAAATCAGGTCTCCTGACTCCTGGCTCAGCCCCTTATCTGCAGCATCAGATCGCCTTTCTAATAATAATAATAATAATCAGGAATACATAAATAATAATACAAGGCGAGATAGTTACTACTCTTAGCGTCTGGTTTGCTCTGACTTCACTGATAACCAGCGCTCGCCAAACCCCCGCTGAATCACACCCGCTCCTCCTGAATTTCAACATCTCGGCCGATCGCTCCCGATCTTTAATTTAAATTTTCTGATGCCGAGGTGAAGGCTCGGCAGCCAGGCGGGGAGCTGGTGGGCTGCGCCGTGGGCACGCTCGCTTGGGCTCGGGCCATGCCTTCTTTTGGCATAATTAGGCAAAACCAGAGGATGGAGCAGCTTGCCCTGGCTCTGGCTTGGTGTGCCCGAGGGATGCCCTCCCTGGGACGACAGCCCAGGCTGCAAGGTCAGCAGTTTTCTGCTTTGTTTTTTTTTTTTTTTCCGCTGATTTGTGGACCTTAAAATGTTAGTTTCCGCTGATTTGTAGACCTCAAAATGTTCGTGCCGGAGGTGTCGGCTCCCTGAGCCGGAGGTCTGCCTGGCGTTTACTCGCTGCTGATGCCCTTGCCTTATGTGGACCCCAAAGATCGATCTCTCCCTCATCCCTGCACCCCCACAGCCCATAAATTGCTGATCAAAGGAGTTTAGACCCAAGTTTTTTGGGAGATTTTTTTCAGATTATCACAGAGCTGTTGGCAGCACAGGTCATGTTTTGATTCCCAGTTCGACCCTGGGGCTTAAATTCATGTTTGGTGAAAATCCAGCATCTTGCACTGGAAGAAAAATATTTAAAACCCCTCTTTGCCACACTGTGTTGGTTTGCATTTTCTAACGAACCTGTAATTTAAAAAAAAAAATTAAATCATGCCCTTTGCCCTTCCCTCCCTGCAGTCCTCTGCAGAAACCCTTAGCGTGGAAATCCTGGCTGCGAAACGATCCGGGCTCGCTCATGGAAACCCAGCGTGGTTTTCCCGGTTCACCTGCCCCTGGGTGGCTCTTGGGCATAGCACCCCTGGGTGCCCCGGCGCCTGGTAAAGCGCTGGTGATCGCAGCCTTTGGCCAAAGACGATGGCTCGCGCTGCCTTGCTTGGCTTTGGGAGGTGAGAGCTACCAGCAGGAACTGCAATTTTTATGTCTGTATGTATTATATATACTTGTTTACATAAATATTTGTAAATACATATATGCATGTCTATATGTGCATAAATATATGTGCATGCATTAAAATATATGGGGGTTTTTTCCCCTTCTTGGCTGAAGTGTTGCAAATGAGAAAAACAAGGGCGTGTGTTGGCTGCTGCTGGCTGGGGCTGGAGGCTGGACGTGGGGCTGGGGAGGAGCTGGTGTGAGCGGGCAGAAAGCTTAGAGTGGGAAGAATTGGCCATTTGTCTTGGTTTCCTGGGAAAGCCCTGGGCATCGTCTTGTCAGATGCGGCGAAATTCTTCCAGCAAATGTTCTCGTGGGGTTTTTTGGGTCAGAAAGGCAGCTGGGCTCCACGCCCCACCTCTGAGCATCCCATTAATCCCCCGCCCCTGTCCCATAGCTTCATCTCAGCAATTGAGCAAGTCTCTTAACCAAAGCGGCGCCCAGACAAACTTCTGAGGAGTTTGAA